TATATTTTTATTTTTTATTAATATTTTTTGGAATTTATTTCAAACACTATTTATACATTCGTAAGTGTGTATGTAGTTTGTATAAAACATTTATATTATAACTATTCCTTATTTTCAGCAATAAATACACTTTAGTAATTCAAGCAAAGGCATACAAGTATACCATACATAAATAAACTTAGCTTAACAATGTATTTAGGAATATTTAAAAATTAAAATAAATTATGATTAATGTGTAACCAAAATACAGAGAACTTTTCAATTCAATAATTCAAAGGACCACAGGAAGTTTTAAAAATAACTAAAAAAATTAAAGTGTAACAGTATTACTGATATTAAATTCAACAATTAATTATAAATTAATTAATATATGAAATATATAGTGTATTACATATGCACATAGATGTCTACTTATATGTAAGTATAGTAGAGCGGGTCGTTTTTTTACTCTGGCCTCGCGTATGCGTGAAATGTCATTCGCTTCATTCTGTATAACTTTGCCAAAGAGACTATGGTTCGAAAACTGTTTCGAGGCGAAGTTTAAAAAATTTTAATAATTGGAAATAGAAGATATATGATATAGTTGTCTGCTCTGACCGATACCGACATATGATCAATAGATTATCAAAATGCACCCACGTACTAAATTTCATTCAGATATCACGAAAACGAACAATTTTTTATGATCCCAAAAAAACTTCGCATTAAAAAACATGGCTCAAATCCGGTTTTACAACCATAGTCACGTAGACAAAGTTGTTCAGAAAAATTCGTAGACCATGCACGAGCATACGCGATTTTTCCGGATTTTGGTTCCCTGTAAATCACCCCGCCCTAATGTCTATAGCTATTGCGTATTTTTCAAAATTCTATCTACAAACCAAGTGATGTTGATAATGTTAAGATGTAAATTTAAATATAAGTTACTAAACACCATATTATTTCGATACATAACGGTATATGTATAACAACCGCCTATAGCTCAGCCAAATGGTTGGCAATACTTTTGCTGCCATTCTGAATGATATTTTGATACATAACGGTATACGGCCTCCAAATGTTATATTTGATAGCAGCAAAACGTTGGGTGATTGCTCAAAAACTGCCGAGAAGAGATCGCTATTTGGAAAAAAAATTTTGAGGCATGCATCACATCCAATTTTTTTTTTTTGCTGTTGCAGTATTCCCCAAATTGTTTTTTTGACCAATGCTGAGATGATGAAAATGCTGAGTTTTCGACAGATGAAAATATGGATCTATTCCGCTTACACAGTCCCCATTGTTGTGGTATGAGTACAAACGTGACTGCCGAGTGGAGGAGTTCGCTATCGGAAAAAAATATTTTCCGAGACATGCATCATATCCAAGTTGTTTTTATTGTTGTAGCATCCGAAAGCATGCCGGAAAGAAGAATAATGCCGAGTTTTCTCCCAACGAAAATTTCTTTTTTTCAAAGTCAATACCGCTTACACAGACCCGATTGTCATGGAAAAGCAACGTAGTAGAAAACGCATCGAAGCAAAGTTGTGGTTGGTGCTGTTGTAGCAGCAGAAAGCATTCTTGAAGTAATTTGGAGGAATGCTGCTGGTTGAACTGACCTTGGTTGGATAAAAATTCAGGTCCGCTTCGGTTCATAAGCCCGACTGATCGGTCATCAGTCTTCGGTACCCAACGAGCATCATAGCAAAGTCTTCTTCCTTAGCAGTACAATGCGACGTTAAACACTACGATCTGCGTGCCTGCTTATTTTTTAAATACTTTTTTCATTTTCCATTTAAGTTAAGGGTGAATGCGGCAAAAATTGTTCGTGTTTAGTAGAAAAAAGATTTGGCATCCATGCAGAAGACGCGCAAGAAACCATTTTCATAGCCAGCAGCCACCAAGTGTTTGCCGTGATTATTGAAATTGCAGTGTATGGTATTGATGCGCGTGCAAGGTGTCAAACTTACAGGCACACGACGCTGCTCGCTGAGATACTGCGCTTTGAGACTTTTATCAATCTAAAGTCAAAGTAAAAAAAGAAACATATAACTTGCTAAACTGTAACCCGTGTACAAATAAAATACACACCCTTGTTACAGGACCGAATACTAGGCCATATTTCTCATTGCAATCCTCCTCGTTGAAACTCCAATCCGCCGTCGCCGACTTGGCATCAAATTTCGGTATATCCGCACCGTTTAAGCATTTCATGTCCATTATGCCCACGGCTTGAGAACTACGCAACGAATCGCGTAGTATTTCCTTCAAGTGCATCTCGCGTAAATTCAGGAATACCACATCACCGTTGTCCGTCGCATTGGCGAGCACATTCTGTAAGGGGTTGTAGTGGATTTTATTGACGCCAGCGCTCATTTTGTCGATGGTCTCATTTTTGAAGACGATATTCGAGGGATTTACAGCAAACACGCAGCGACCATCTAAAAATTTTTATTTATATTAATAAATTTTGTAAATTAATTTTCATTAATATGTTGTACTCACTGTTGGGCAACGAATCGCCCATTGCGATCGCTAACGATTGCCAGATGGGCGACCATTCCAAGTCGGTGCCTTCATTCTTGGTGATTTCCTCCTTCAAAATGAACGGGCGCGTGAAGTGATAGAGATCATATAATACCAACGAACGTCGGGCAACAATAACGGCAATCACACGCACGCCGGAGCTATCATAATGCAATGCCATGGCTGTAAGAGTTGTTGTTGTGTTAAATATTTTGCAAAACCTCTTATAACAAGGCAAATTACCTCGCACATTCTTCTCGCGCGTGTAGAAGAAATTGAGTGGCACATAGTGCGGCAGGCCATCGATAATGAAGCGATTTAGATTTCTATCACTGCTCACATCCCAATAGGCGACGCAACCGTTTGCGTAGCCCGCAAATATATGCATATGCTCAGCAAACTATAAAAAAAATAGAGAGAAATGCATAAAAAGACGAGGGTCGATATATTTTGAAAACGAAAAAAAAGTATGTATATTTAAACCTATCGGAAACTAATTTCCAGTTATGAATGGCAATTTACTCACCTCGGACCAACACAGCGCCGTGCATTGTGTATCCACAAACGGATGTTGGCTCAAGTCTTTTTTGGAGAGATCTAATGCCAGCAGCCAAACAGGCTCCAATTGCAGCGTGGTAAAATTTTCTGTATGCTGCTCAGTCGTTGCTTCACTTAACTCGCCCACGTTTTCAACACACAAAGGTAACGCATAAACTTTAATGGTATTTTTTGCTGTGCCAACAGCCACCAAACCGAGACGATTGGCATGCGCATCATAACCACCGCTGGGTAGAAATGCCAAGCAATGCACAGGCGCATCGGGTATGTTGATGGCGTATTGTAGCTGCATGTCACATGACTTCGACGTGTCAGCTGCTGTGACTTTGTACAGCCAAAGTAACGTGTTGCCTATTTTTGGACTCTTGAAACGTGTATAAGCACGGCGTGTGCTAACGAGCAGATATTGGTCTTTAATGTCCTTGGGTAAAGGCACCCAGGTCGCAGTTTTTATAGCTTCGCCCAGAAAAGTGAATTGTTCATCTGAAATGTATCAAATTTTTTAATAATTGAAGTAAAAAAGTAAAGAAATGCTCTACTACTTACTCTTCACCGTCATGGTCTCTAGACGTTGTAATTGCGACCAGTTTATATCTTTCGATGCCTTGCCAAAGCTTACTTGCTTTGACGATTTGCAAAGCTTCAGATTGGTATTGTAATTGAACTTCATTGACGTTTCCATATCCGGTATATACTTCTCATACTCGTTGCGTGCGCAAGTCGTGTACTTAACCCTGGCGTCGGTAAATAACGGTGCCGTGCTATAGTTTTGCCCAGTACTGTAAATAATATATAATGAATAATATATATGGATTTATTCTGAGCGAATTTGTTTAAAAGCTTAAAAGGTTTGGGAGACGGACAGACGGACAGACGAACGGATGGATGGACGGATAAACCAACAGAAGGATGGACGGACGGAAGTACGGACGGATGGAGGGAAAAACGGATGGAGGGAAAAACGGATGGAGGGAAGGACGGATGGATGGACGGACGGACGGACGGATGGATGGACGAAGGACGAATGGATGGACGAAGGACGAATGGATGGACGAAGGACGAATGGATGGACGGACGGACGGATGGGCGGATGGACGGAAGGACGGATGAACGGAGGGAAGGGCGGATAAACGGAAGGGCAGACAGATGAACGGAAAGACGAACGGATGGACGGGAGATGAACAGATGAACGGAAGGATGGACAGACAAGTCACTTGAACTCGTCAACCTGATAATTTTTATATCGTATAGCGGATCCACATTAGAATAAAAGTTATACATTATTTCCATGATTAGTGACACCTCGCGAAGAAAAAAGCTTTGTGTTGAAAGTACAAAATAATATAGTTTTCCCCAAAATTCTACTCTGGATTCGCCACAATTCGTATACCTACATAACCTTATATCTAACTCGATTAGTTTAAGTTGTAAGAATTTAAAAGCAAGTATATAAGTACTTACAATTCTTTCCACAAGAGACGAGCAGTGCCATTATAATCCACTTCCCGCGGTGGGTGCACTGGATGGTAACAAAAAAAAACAGAAAAGCATTAATTTACATACTCTATTTCAAGCTTAAATAAAGTACACTTACGTCTGTCCGCACTTATGGCGTTTGACCCCGAAGTTGCCGACTTTTTCTTGCCAGTCTGTTTCTTCCGCACGTTTTTTCGCGCTGCTGCCTCGTCGGCGGAACTATCACTCGCATTATCATTAGCATTATTCTCTTCATTCGAATCCACACCTGATGAGACATCCTCATCATCGCTGCTCGATTCATCATCGGTTTTAATGCCGCAATCGGAAACATCACCTTCGAAATCCTGATCGACTTCGGTACTCTTGTGCTGTTGTAAAATGTGTTTTATCACAGATTTGACGGCACGATAGGACTTCGTCGTTTTCGCGCAAAGCTTACAGTTATAGACACCTTTAGCAACGGTTTCCTTTAAATCACAGCTGGCAAAATGTTCTTGTACGGCGCTTAAATCCTTTGCTGTGAATTTACAACCCTGTGCTGGACATGCAGCTGAGCCCGAGGTTTCAATGTCTTTCGCGCAGTTTTCCAACATTTTCTCAGGACCAACGAACACTACGTGCTATAAAACGAAAACTTAATTTAGAAAATACCACATTCGGAATATATAAGCGGCGGGGACTACTCACGCTTTTGGCATCTTTGGTGCAAAATATTCCAGTACTTTGCGAGTCTTTGAGAGCTTTCAGCATTTTCTCTGCCCTTTAAGGATTACACGACAAATGAAGTAGTTAGAAAAATTAACGGATGAGCAAATAAAATTATAAATTTTTAAAGCAACAAGTAATAAAACTTACTTTTGCACTGAAGCTCGTTTCAAACGTCCCACATTGTTCAAAACGGCCTCCTTGTTTTCAGCTGCGACTTCTTTAGCCTCCGTTGCCGACTCGTTAAGCTCTTCGTCCTCTGTACGTTTGCTACACGTACGCATATGACTTACAACGCTAAATTTCGAGTATTCTTTTTTACAGTAATCACATGGTGTGCGCGTGTCTGTCGCACCACAGGTCTCAATGTGTAGCAGAGTGCCCAAAGCTGAGCGGTAGGTGCGTTGACACATGCGACAGGTGAGCGGATGCTTGCTAACATTTACTTTCAGAAAAGCGATCATGACCTTCAGCACCTCATTGCGGATCGTGACATTCTGCAAAATTTGTTTTATATTAAAAAACAAAAAATTTAATATATTTACACTTTATTTTGTACTCACAATTGGCGTCGTTTCGCCCACTATCCAACCAACACCGTAATGTGTCGCTAAATGCTCCACCCAGTTATCGCGTGGCATTTGTTGCAAGCATAGTCCACATTGTATCAAAGCTTTTTTCGTAGTCTTCGTTACGGGCTGTGCGGTGAGCACTTCGTCTGTCTCGAGCTGAGCGCGATTCGTTATCAATAACAGACGCTCATTGAAATTGCCGCGTGTTTCAAGATCCCCAGCTTTTACACCTCTACCTTGCTGTTTTTCGTTCGACTCCGCTGGGGTGTCCGGTGTGGCCAAGACCGCTTTCGGCTTTCTTCCACGCTTTTTTGGTATTTTTACAGGCGTCTCAGAGTCAATTGTTGCTTGGCTCGTATTTGCAGTTTCCGTCAAATTTAAGCTGGAATTTGGCAGCGTCTCGTTTAAGTCTGGCTGCGAGCTTGCCTGTGTAGTATCAAGCGCTTTCTGTGCTTCCGCAACACCATTACAAAGCACAGCTTCGCTTTCACTCGGAAGCGTTGACTTTGGTTTTCGTCCACGCTTTTTACGCGTCACTGGCGTACTTTCCTCTACGCTCATTGTTTCCTGCTTAATTTCTTCAACAGTTGCCGCAGGCAACTTGCGCTTTCTGCCGCGTTTCGTGCTACTGCCTTCCGTTGCTGTTGGTGGAACTGGTGTTGACGTTGCAAACTCTTTTTGTGAGGCTGTACTTAGATCAACTTTTTTGACCTCGACCTCAGCAAGCTTACTATTTTCGTTAACAGCCGTGTTCACGCTTTCGTTCAACGAGCAATCGACGTTATTTTCAACCAATTCAGCACGCTCAGTTTCAGTTACCACGCTAGTTACATTGATTTTTGATTTTCTACCCCTCTTTTTGGCAGATTTGGCTTGCACTACTACATTTTCAGCTTCATTGACCACTGGTTCTTTTATTTCTAGTGTTTTGGTACAACTTTTGGACCTGCAAGACTTTTCACTAACCACTTCCTTCTCTTTCGCTGAGTCATCAGAAGCACCGCTTTCATTCCTTTCACTTTTGAAAGCAGTACCAATCAACGTAGTATCATTATTTTGAACAGGTTTAGCGGTTTCTGTGCTCTCTGCCATCGCTGTTGATGGACTGGAGTCGAAAAGTCTGGTTTTAGGGTGGTGTTTATGCGCCACCTTTGACTTAGACTTTTGTGGAGTTGCTGCTCTCTCAGAATCCAACGAAGCAAGTGTAGTCGTGTTGATCTTCTTGACGTCGTTTGCGTCTTCATTTGCTGCAGTGTCTTTCAAGGTTGCTTCTGGTTCCGCGACCTGCCTTTGTGACTTTTTAGCAGGCTCCGCAATACTAGTGGCGCTTTCAGCAGAATTCGTTGTTGTTCCATTTTCAAAATTTGCTTCTAAGCGTAATTTTTTACTTGGTGCTTGTAAATCTTCAGGATTCTCAGTATTCTCAGCTGCGGTAGCAACAGCTCTTGCTTGCTCTGGCATATCTATGATATCTACTGAGCTTCTATTACGTTTATTATTTTCAGAAGTGGCGACCTCTATTACATCGCTTTCTTGCTCTTTTTCACCTTCCACGACTTTGCTATCGTAGTAATTACTTTTATGAGCTTTAATTTTGTTCATATCTTTGTGTGACTTTTTGGATTTGTCTAATGCTTGAAAGCTAGTTTCATCGTCTTCTTCTTCCTCATCATCCGCTGGCGATGTATCATCTGTTATATTTATATTTTCATCCGATTCCTGCAAGACTCCCCAACGCTTCTTTAAGGGCACACTACGCCGATTCGTTGGCTTACGCCTCGTTACGATATTTGACTTTTTCGTCGTAGTCTTGCCAGTAGACGTTGAGCCTTTTACAGCGCTATCGCTTAGCGCTACGTGTGGGCTCTCACGCTCCGTGGTGCTGTGGTCTATTTCGCGTGTTTTGGTCTTTTCAGCACTAGTGGTTATTGTGAGTATATGTTGCAGATTACTCTCAATATTTTGTGTACTCGGCGAATTATGGTTGAATCCGAGAAAATCAGTTTTTATATAACCAGGTTTTTGTATATCTTCCGTAGATGGAGCATCTGCTTTCTGTGCCTTTTCATCGGCATTTTGTTCCAGTAGCTTTTCTTCGGTTATCACATGTAAAATATCACAGGTTTTTGCAGTTGCATGAACCTCTGCTGTCTCAGCTATTACAGAATTTGCTGAGACTTCAGAATTCGCTGTATTGGACTGCGGCTTATTTTCTTCGGTAAGCTCTAAGTTGCTAACACGATCAGTCTTTTGCCCATAGTTATGCTGTAGCTCCGGTTGATTGCGATTTTTCTCTAAATTATCCACCACTTCCGTGCGTTTTGCGCTTGTTTTGTCTTCGCCAACTCCAGCCTCGCTCATATTGGACTCTTTATTAAATTTAGTCAAAAGATTATGTATGCCTTTTACAGTTTGTTGATCGGCACACGCTTCTATTTTGGTCGTCTTAAACGGATTTTTCGCTGGAGTTGTTTTAGCTTCCTCTGTTGATGCCTTTACCACCGTCAGTAGAAGGTTCTCAGTAGAAGAAGATTGTGCAATTGGTACATCACATAATGAAGGCGATTTGCTATCAGACCCTGCGGATTTTCGCTTAGGTATTTTAGGTGGATGCAGTAGTTCCGATATTAGAGCAGTTTTACGCTTTAATTCGCCTGATTTTAATGGCGATTCGTTGGTAGTTGGTACATCTGACAGAGAGTGGTCTGAAATAGCAACTTCAATAGTTGAACGCTCACTTTCCGTTGTAGATAACCCATTAGCACACTTGACACCCAGAGTATGTTCGGCAATGAGCACATGTTCGGCAACTACGCCTTCGTTTACATCAACCTTTGCAGCCGAGTTGTGCAATAATGCCACTGATTCCTTGACCACGAGTTTCGATTGATTTGTTTGTGCCACCATTGCATTTATCGGTGCTTTTTCTTCCTTATACTCCCGGTCCAACTTAGATGCGGCTGCGATCTCTTCTAACGCACTGCCTTTATCATTTGGTTTTGGAGTTTCACTCATCTTTTCTACTTCTGCTGCAGATGTGGCAGCAATCTCTTCTATCGCAGTTTCTTGTATGTTTTGTTGATCTTCTAACGAAATTTCTTTCTCATCTTGTTTTTGATCTTCATTCATCTTCTCTACTTGAACAGTCGCTCCGTCCAACTGAGATGCCACAGCCATCTTAGTTACAGTAGTTTTTTTCTCATTTAGGTCTTGATCTGAAAATGCTTCGTTGCTATTTTCAGACACCGACTTTGTTTCCCGTAGCTTTACCGGCGCACTTGCTGTTGTTTTCTTACGTTGCACCAAGTTGATCTTGCCTTTCTTAAAACGCGGTAATCGTTTTGGCGCAGCTTTTGTTTTTTCTTCAGCCACAGACGTCACATTTTCAACGGGCTCAGCAAGCTTCTCATTTTTTAAGTGACTAGTAGGATCCGTAGGCAATGTGCAGCATGCACTGGTAGGATCCACCGGCTCGACGGACTTTGATTCGGCTTCCGTTTTATTGTTTACTGTTCCACTTGCTGCATTAGCTGTTCGACTTACCTCTTGCTCACTAGCAGGCAACGTTTTAGATTTATGGGGACTAAGCACTTCACCTATGTTTCCGCTCACTACTGCCGGAGTAATGCTTGCGTTATCGTCGACCACCGGCAGGGTTTCGATATTTTTATCACCATCGTTGATAACATCAGATATTGTTGCTGTTATTTGGCTAGTCTCTGCTGCGTTGGCAGTAGAAGGTTCCACCGATATTTTGCATGGATCAGATTTGTCTGCATCTGGCATAATTTGCTCCACGGTCGTGTGACTTTGTGACAACGCTTCAACCTCTAAGGGTAATATTTGAATTTGTTTGGTAACCGCTACTCCAGCGTCCACATTTTTATTGATTTCTTCAATAGATGCCGGCATAGCGTTTTCCATAGTTTTCACAAACACGCCACCTGTGCGATTTTCTTCAAAGTTATCGATGGCACCAATTTCAAGATTCTTAACTATAATTGGTCCCACTGTCGACTCCGTTAAACTGTCAGTTGCGACAATGTCGAGGTTATTTACATTTTCCATATGATTGACTTGTGTTTCCTCTTCGATAGTATCAAGGTGTTCGGTGCTCTTCGTCAGTTTAAATACCTCTTGTGCACCGTTAATTATTTGTTCATTATTGGCATCCAATTTGGTTGAGGCAGCAACAGCATTTAGAATATTTTCCTCACTGATAGTTATGATTTTGCCGATTTGCACGTCATCGGCAGCCATTTCCGGCTCAAATAACTCTGGCAATGTTTCGGCATTTGACATATTGCAGGTGTCATATATATCCTGCTCAATTAGCTCACTCTTTACGCTCTCTGTTCTATCGCGGTATGGAATACGGAGTGGTGAGAAATTCATTGCGAATGAAGCATTCAAATTGAGCTCTTCCGGCGAGAGTTCCAATTGCATATCCTCCGTTATTGGGTTTTCAGCCGCCAACGAGGCAATGAAGTCAACAGCAGATAACGACGCTTCCGATTCATCATCGCCACTATCCAACACACAAACAGCTGATTTGTTGTGTGCATTTTGAGCCGAGTCGTTTAATTTTGGTGGATTAGGCGGCAATGGGTTTTTGAATTCTGCGATCTCTTTGAATTGTGAGTCGACAACAGTTTTAGGTGCTTGGTATATAATAGGTGTGGCAGCGGTTGTAAGACACGTGGAAACTGTTGCAGTTGTAGGTGGAACATCGTTTTGGATGGCAGTTTCAGGTATCTTATTGGTATGTGTTACAGTGTTGGTATAAATTTCTGTTAACTTGGAGACTGGAATGTTTGGTGTTGGACTTATTGGCGTTTCGTTCGGTTTTTCTATTGAAGCTGTGTTTTTGTGGAGCGATGGGTAGTCTAAGCTGGATGTATTCTCGGCTGGTTGTGTCAATGTTGAAGTTGTTTGGGTATCACTGACTTCATTTAGGTTTATTTTACGCAACACGCCGGTGTTTTCGCTTGCCTCCGCCACATTTTCAGCTTTACGCACGACAAGAAAGTGTTTCGGTGAATTTGCGTTTTTCAGCTGTATCGCCTTGACAAGCTCGGCTATCTTATCCGAAGACAATTTCAATTTATCCATCGACACAATCGTGCGATTGTTGAATTTAGCGCCCTTCTGTGCCAACAGATTGTTGGCGGCTGACGACGTGATAGGCGTGATTTTCGTTTGCGAAATTTGTGCCGTTTCCGGCGCTTTGTGTGTAGTTGCCGTAGCTGTTTCGTGCGTTTCCATTGTTACGCCTGGCGTTGACTCTAGTTTCGGTGTACCAAAGCCTAATGCCGTCAGATCAATCTTTTCATCTTGTGATAAAACTTTGTTCTCCAACACAATCAGACTTTTTGGCGTTTGTGCTATAGGTATGGTTACAGCCGGTGTTACGAAATATGTATTTTTCAAGAAATGATCACTGGTTTTCTCTGTATCATCACCCTGTGTCTGACCCATTTGACCCACTTTAATCAGAGTGGTAGGAAAGGGTGTTTTGAATGTGGAGATAGTGGGTAAAGGCAAATCTTGCGAGTGTGTAACGACCGGGAATGGTTGTTTCAGTGGCGAATATAGCGGAAAGTTGTTGAACTGTGACTGTGCAGTGTTTTGGTTGTCAAGCGCGGCGCCGGTAGAGGCCTTAACGTTCAACGCTTCTGTTGACTGCTTTACTGGATCTTTATAGACTGCGCTTAATGGAGTCTCAACGGTAGTTGCAACTACATTTTTGTTTGTTAATAACGGCGAAATATACGGTTCCAGGCTTGTTTCCAGAAATGCTTTTGTGACATTATCTCTCTTGACCATATTGTTAGGTTTGTTCTGTACGGGCAGTTTCTTGCAACGTATGGTGGCTTTTGGTATTTCCATTATATTAGCTGTCTTTTCTGGCGACTGTATGGGGTTTTTGCGCATTGTTACATTACCAATGCGCGCCACCAAACGTGCAACATCGACTGCGCGTGTACCAGCAGCTTCCGCCTTTGCGGGCGACTCTTTGCGTGCACAGAGACTGTAGTTTCTTATGTGTACTGGACCAACAGTGCTGATCTTTTCTGTTTGATGCTCATTTGCATTCGGTGTCGATACAGTTGTTGTTGGTTTTGTAGAAGTAGCATCTGCGCTAAAATCGAGTACACGTGCTATATCTTGCGGAGTTTTAGCTGGTGATGGTTTTCTCGTTTGCTGACCTTTGGGTATGTTCATGAACTCTTCCATTTCTGTTTTCGGCTCCATCCAGCACATTTCAGTTGTTGGTGTGGTGTTTTGTGACGTCGATAAGCTTGCAACTTGTGGCGATTGTGGAGATTGCGGCGCTTGTACAGCTGCCAACTGCTGCCGCTTCAAAATCTTACATTGTAATATGTATTTTACATTTTCTAAACGATGCTCGGGCACTATGCGTACTGTATGAGGTTCTTCGCCGGGTCGCGTTATGGTTATCTTCGGCGTAACAAAAACTTTGCGCTCAGCGGAAGGCGATTTGGTAGCTGTAAAATATTATTTGGGCTTATTTAAAGTTTGTGCATAAAAAAAATAAATGCAAGTACAGTTTCACTAATTTGAATAATTGTCACGAAGTCTCGGTGACATATACACAACTTATCAGCCTGACGAGCTGAGTTGATTTAGTTGTTGTGGTTGTTTTTGTAGCGCCAGAATTCTGCCGAGTTGACAATCCCTGGCTGGATAAAAACTCCGATTCGTTCCGGTTACGTAGACCCGACTGTTGTAGGAACGAAGAGTCGATTTAGTCATGTCCGTCCGTATGTTTGCATATGCGCGAACTAGTTCCACAGTTTTTGAGATATATGTCTGGAATTTTGTGCACATTCTTCTTTCCTGAGAAAGCTGCTCTTTAGGCGGTACCGTCGATATCGGACCACTAAAGCATGTAGCTGTCGTACAAACTGAACGACCAAAAGTATGTTAGTTAACGAGATATCTTCTCGAAATGGCGTGGATTACAATCCAAGACAACGGTACAATCTCTGAAAAAATGATGCAGATCGGACCACTATAACATATAGCTGTCATCCAAATTGATAGATCAAAACCCTGTCCTTGTGTGGAAAGCTTTGTTAGTTTATGAGGTACTGTCACGAAATTTGGCGTGGACTACTATCCGAAGAAACGGTGCAATCTTTGGAAAAAATGGGCAGATCGGACCACTATAACATATAGCTGTCATACAAATTCATCGATCAAAACCCAGTCCTTGTATGGAAAGCTTTTTTAGTTTACGAGGTATTGTCACGAAATTTGGCATGGATTATTGTACAAGCCAAGGGTACAATATTCAAAGAAATTGTTTAGATCGAACGACTACAACATATAGCTATCATACAATTCGACAAATCATAAACAAGTTCTTGTATGGAAACTTTTTTATTTGTGAAGGGTATTCTAACTTCGGAAAACCAGAAATTAATATTTTTACTTGCTTCTTACTGATTTTAACGACATTTTTCTTTGTAAATATAACATAATTTGGATAACGCAAGGATATGTGGAATAATAGAATATATTAATGTGTTCACAAACTTTTGTCTCGCCATAAACAATTTCGCATTTTCTGATATCTTAGCTAATAAAAATATTGTAGAAAATATCAACCTTATCTTTAAGATTTATCTAGCCATAAACAGGATTCGAACTATGACCCTTGGTAGAGCCGCTGTTTTCATCCCCGCATTTGATACCTAAGCCAGCAAAGCATGCCGAAGTTTTGTATCAAATGCTTTATATCTACCAATTATTTTGAAAGTGAATTAATAAAAAAAAATTACTTTCACTCTTTATTTGCACATTTTAAACATAACTGATATCAATGTCATGCACCAACTATGACAACATGTTTATACCTATAAATACAAACAAATTGAAAATTGATGTTTTATTGTTGTAACAACCCAAAAACTTTAATCAAATCTTTTTCGGAGATACTGCTGTGTTGACAGTAATAGCACGGTTGAAGTCCAGACAGTTTTGAAATATTAAATTTAAGAGTTAACAGAGCACTGGTTATAGCATGTCACGTATAATAAATAATAATTTTGAACAACATATACCTGATGCCAACCGATAGAGTTTATAAATAAAGCATTTTCTAAAAATATAACAATAACAATGAATGCGTCACCGGCACATCTGTTCAGACAGTAAGCAAACGCACTTTGCACTTTTAGGTCTTAAAATATATATGATATACTAAACACGAATAAAAAAATTTGTGTGTAACTGCGTTAAAGCTCAAGTGTAACCACGCCTCGAACTCGCGACCTACAATTTTATGAACAACAACACTAACTACTCAGCCACGCGTGCATGAAATATATTATTGCTTAACGTTTGTGACATTATAGATTTTAAAATGAAATGTTGCTGATATTATCTCTTAGGACCCGAAAATTTCCTGTGGGCTATAGTTATTGATATTAATCTAGAAGAAATCACTTACCCGTAGGAGCCAAAACTGTTGTTTTACTAGGCGTCGCGTTAATTTTTGGAGCAGCAACTTTATCCGTTGCAGCTGGCACTAAAAGACATTTTTTCGAAGAATCCAGTGGTTTTATTGGAGCAAATATTTGTTGTGGTGCATTAGTTGTATTTGGCGTAGCATTGCTTGTTGCAGTATATGTTGTGGATACTGTTGCAGGGGCGACAGCTTGTGACGTTGCCTTTAATGACGAAATTGCAGTTTGCGTTGGTATATTAACTGCTTTGGACGCATCATTTACTTGCAACTTATGAGTATCCCAATCTTGTATACGTCTGCGCTGTTCCTTAGCCATTGCCTTTAGCTTGTGCCTACCGATTGCTTCGGCCAATTTGCGATCTAAACCAGCTTGTTGCAATTTTTTCGGATCAATTACCATAATTTTGCGTATGACACGTTTGTTACTGTCAGGTTTTTGACTTTCGTTAGAGACTGGTGAATCCATTGCGGAAGTAGGATTATGGGTAAGATGTGTCTGACTCAAATTCTTAACAGTAGTAGCATTTTGAGATTTGCTTTCGCCCACGGGATTTGCTGTGTACTCCTCATCATTTGTTGTTGACATTACGGATAATTGAGCTTTTTTGGTACTAACATATTCAGCGGTACTATCAGTAGCAGCACTCTGCTTAGAATTTGTTGCTGCTCGATTATTCATAGTAATCACATTGCTCACTGCAAGAGCTTCATTGGTTGCTACATTATTATTCCACGCTTCACAATCACTCATATTTAACTATTAAACCAAATTTGTTTTTTTTTTTTCAAAACTTATTTTTTCATTATACATATATATTACATCAGCTTAATGCATCTAACAATTACGCGTTTTTGGGCGCAGAATTTCTTCACTTGTAGAAATATTTCACGTAGGTTTCGGGGGAAACACTACATTATGCACATTCAAAAACTAATGAAATGCACGTGCTTCTAAATCTAGCGAATTTAACACATCAAAAAATTAGAACCGTATTTCAATTTTCTATTATACTCAGCAGGCACGAAGATATTTTAAAATCTTCATTAATTAATTTTTAAAGCCTTTATCGCGCACCTCGTTGTCTACTGTCGAAAGAAAATTCTTCACAAATGTCACAAACTACGGCGAAGTTAATTAGGCATGGGCAATAGTACAGGGGGTTCAAAAGAATATTATTTGCGCAAAGATTAAATTTTTATTTACACAAATATTTAAAATTTTTGAACTAATCCCATTGAATAAAATTTAAAAAACTGCAAAATAATTTATACTTTTTATTACTATTTGATTGGTTTTATATATTAAACTATTTAATTTTGTAAAATTCTACCCAACTTAAATAAATCGATACGGCAATGCCGCTGTCATAAGCAAAGGAACGAAACAATTAATGACATTTTGAACACAAATTTTTGGCATATTCTAATCTGTCAAAGTACACATAGAAGACACATTGCATTAATTGTATTAATTTTTAATAAAATAATATAAAAATTAATTTTATTGGTGTACACCAGCCTACAAAATGGATTTCCAAAATAGAGCCGGTGGAAAAACCGGCAGCGGTGGAGTTGCTTCTTGGTCTGAAACTCACCGTGACCGCAAAGAACGACTACGGCAGCTTGGTAAATTTTTCAGATTGCTGTGGTTAACTACTCTACATCTTTATCTTTCTTATATAGCTTTGGAGACAATTGATCTGAATAAGGATCCATATTTTATGAAAAATCATTTGGGTTCATATGAGTGTAAACTTTGTCTAACACTTCACAATAATGAGGGCAGTTATTTGGCACATACACAGGGAAAGAAACATCAAGAGAACTTGGCACGGCGTGCCGCAAAAGAAGCTAAAGAGGCACCGTCCATGCTTGCACCGGAGAAACCACGAGTTGAACCAAAAAAATTTGTAAAGATTGGTCGTCCAGGTTACCGTGTGACAAAGCAACGTGATCCTACTAATGGTCAGCAATCATTACTTTTCCAAATCGATTATCCTGAAATCACTGAAGGAATCATACCACGTCATCGATTCATGTCCGCTTATGAACAGAAAATAGAACCTCCAGATCGTAAATGGCAATATTTGTTATTTGCAGCTGAACCATATGAAACCATTGCTTTTAAGGTTCCATCGCGTGAAGTGGAAAAAACCGAGGGCAAATTTTGGACACATTGGAATCGTGATACAAAGCAATTTTTCCTACAGTTTTCCTTCAAATTCGAACCCAAAATTATACCACCTCCTCCGCCACAATTGCATCGTGGTCTTGGCCCTGCTGCTGGTTTCCCAATGCCGGGACCGCCGCGTCCTCATCATATGTTCAATGGCGTACCGCCACCACCTCCAATGGGCGTATTACCTGTACCACCACCACCCATGTGAGACGAGGTAACAACTCCCGTCAGCATTGCAAACGGTTAACTGCTACGGAAGTTATAAGCCATTCATTTAAGTCAAGCTTCGTTTAATTAAATTGTATAAATGAAACGCCAGCATTTTCAATAAAAAAAAAACAAAACTCAATTTCAAAATATTTTTTTTTTTGTATTAATGTTTGCTAATTTGGTTAACGCAATAATTAATATATATGTACTTAGGATTCGAGAAAATGTAAACAATATATGTATGTAAATGTACGTATACTATTCACAATATTTTGTTTAAGTGCGCATGCGTTGTGAAAAGATTGCAAATATATCACAATTGTAAAACGTTGGCATAAACCTATCACAACGTTAAGCTTTAAAATAAATTTAAAAAAATTGGGCATATAATATTTTTCTTTCATTTAGAAATTAACGTTTTTCTTTTAACCTCATAGGAAATAAGTCAAGTTATTGTTATGCTTAATCAAAGTCCTATCTGGCAGCACAGTTTAGCAAATTTCACATACTACTCGTTCTTCTTTGTGTGTTTCGTTTCAGTATACGGCAGACATTTTCAAAGTACACACATAGAAAAGTGACCGTATGTAGACGAGGGAAAAGCTAAAAATTTTCCAATTAAGATTTCAGTAATCAGTGATAATTATAAAATTGAACAAATACAGTGTGAAATTAACATTTGCTGAAACGTTTAAATAAAAGCAAGGTTGGTAGAAGTTTTTAAGCCTCCGCTAGGTGGCTTTAAAGTGATACTATGAAAAATATATGTACATACTTTTACTTCTGCAAATTTAGATAAACGTAACGTGTGTGCGATTGATATTTTAAGTAAAATAAATTTGTTTTAGCATTTTTATCAATAAATATACTGCGTTTTTAAATAAAATGAGTTCGGTGGATGCGAGTGGTGGAACTGGTGGTGGTGGCGCACCTGGACCAGGAGGGAGCAGTGTAGGGGGTGGAGGAGGTGTTGGAAGTGGTGGGGGACCTGGAGGTGGAAATACAACTGGAACCTTAAGCTCCAATTTGGCTGGTATGGGCTCAACGCAGGCAACAACAGGAGGTGAGTATTTACAAGAAGTTAAACCATTTTATATTGTAGTGTAAAATAACGCCATACATATATGTACATACATATTTGACACAAATCTACACATGTTTGGTCAAAATTTGCGCTCGTCGCTATGTGTATATATATGTATAAGGAGTACTGTGATTGCCTTTATTGCAGCTTTTATAGCATATTTTGTGTGTGCGTTTGCTATTTTAGATTTGCTTATATACTTGTTTTCTGTACCAAAACTCTATCCCACTGTTCCTCTCCATTCCAATTTGTGTTATCGTTGCAGTGTGTCGTGGCGTCAAAAATTCCATATTGTTTGGGTAGTCATGTAAAAATTATGGAATTTCATAATGGAGCATAACAAAATAACATATACCTATAAAGGTGTTGTTATTCTTGATATAAACTAAAAAAGTAAAATACAATAAATAAGAAGTTTAATTTTAATCATAGTATTTATTTAAAAACGCTCACATATTCTGCTTCAGAAATTGTATTACCCGTGTACCCCCATACTATTTATTTATCTCCTAATCTGGTGATATAAAATAATTATCGTAATTGAAGTTTAATATATGGTATTTTGAAGTAATTGATTTTAACAATTTCATACATTGCAATATTTAAGTTAAAATGTCTAAAACAGTGTTTTATGTGTGTAGTTTTGTTTGTTAAAAATACCACGGAAAATTCTACAACTTGTTATCTTTGTTTTGCTTGTATAATTCTTTCGCAGAAGCACAAAAAAACATAAAAACCCATTTCATACAACCTAACCTCATTCATCAAAATGAACAACATCAGGCACCAGTGCATTCAACAGTGTCCGCTATCCAATCACCAATGACATCAACTATTACGACTACAACAACTTCAATTGCTAGACACCAACAACAAACGCACAATATTTCTATACTACCCAATCCCTATATAACAACATCAAGTTCAAATAATTTTCAAAATCCGCCCATCCATTCGCCAGTACGCACTGCACACTTACCTACCAGTGATATTCATTCCCATTCACACAATCAAACCCATGCTTACAGTCAAAGCCATACTCATCAAAATCCCAGGCAGTTTATTAAAACAGCAAAAATCCATCCTTTTTCTTTTAATCCAGTTTCAGCAAAAATTTCACATAGCAATATGGTGAACACGGGCTCTCCTGGTGGTAGCAACTTACAAATTGGTAGTAACGTTGTAAGTGGCGTTAGCACTATAATGACCAGCAGTGTATCAACAACTGGAGCTATTAAAATGACCACAGCTGGTGGTGCTATTGCGACATCAATTGGTGGCACGCCAATTGCCCTTAATGTAGCACAATCGTCTTCAGCTATTCGTACCATCGGCGCTGGCGGACAATCGACACAGGTGCGTGTTGTCATGCCCACCAATATAATACCCATAAAACAATTCGAAGGTGCCACAGGTGTTGGTCGTACGCAGATAACAGCTATACCGGCGGGCGTTACGGGTGTTACTTCTCGCACAGTATCAAATACATCTATAACTGTAACGAGGCCAGTCACACAAACAACATATCTGCCGCGTGCCGGTGTAACAGCCACACAAATGACAGCAGTGGGTTCGGCACAAAGGCTGGTTACACCAATACGTACTGGACCGGGTTCCGTTTCAATGGGTGCTGGTACAACAGTCACGGGGCTCACAGCAGCGGGTAGCTTTGTGCGTGGCACGGCCGCAACCGTCAATCGTAATACATCATCGCCAGCTACTTCAGGCATTTCACCGGCAACCAACACGACTTGGATGCAAACTAATACCGGTGGACAAGTGCAACTTATTAGAACCATACCACAGCCGACACAAAAACGTATAATCACTGCACAGAGCATGAACACAACTAGTGGTGCATACAATAACACTGGTATTAGCGGTGGACTCGGCACATCGGTTGGCGGTACAGTTCTTGCAACCACGCCACCAACAGTTGTACAAACGGCTGGAGGTGGCCAAACACAAACGCAGCAAGGTCAAGGAGGACAATGTAAGTCTAAAATTCATTTTTTTTTTTTTTTTTTTTTAATTTTATATATTTTCCATAGCTACAATACAATCAGTGTCATCATCGGGAGTGGCACATAGTCAGCCACAGTCACAGCAACAGCAAACTTACGTGGCCACATTAGCTACTGTTTTACCACAACGTCAACATCAAGCCACATTAGTTTATTCATCGAATGTAGCAGCTACGTCACAACCGCTTACCCAGCAAACGCAACAGTTTAATCCGACTCTAGTAGCTGGCCAGCGACTTGCTGTTGCTGCACAGCTCTCTGGCGCTGGTACTTCGGTGGCAGGAACAACATCACGTCAAATACGCCCAATACCGATACCAAAATCTTTCTCCGCCGCCAAGTTGAACACGACCAGCATAAGTATACGTGCACCAAATATAACCTCGACAATTCAACCGGTCAGTAGTGGTGGTGTCGTTGGCAGCGCTATTAATTCTGTGGTGGGGTCGGGTAATACAGCTGCTAACAATTCCCCACGCAATACGACTATGAGTGGCGTAACTACAGGTGTTGGCAACAACGTCATACCGACATCGAATTTACCCACCACACGTATCATACAGCTGCAACAACAGCCCGGCAGTACTACACAGCCTATTATTGGCTCAACGGGTCGCATTTCGGGTAATGTGATGTTCCAGCCCATCATTGTCAATACATCGGGCACTGGGAAGCTCGGTAAGTGTATTGTAAAATATACGCCAATTTGCTTGTAATTTCGTTAATTCAATGAAATTTAAGGAAAGTGTTAACTGTCACATTTATTGATTTGTTTATGACATATAACGCGAAGCCTTTTGTAAAGGACATTTACTGACAACTTATTTATATACATATGTATATATCGTATGACATATCGGGTGTGAGGATATGAAATTAGTATACATATAACGAACATTACATGAAAGTAAAAGTATGTCTACAGCGATGAAATTATTTAAAACAAGAAGAATGTAAAGTTCGGGAGCACCGTAGTTATAATACCCTTTACAAATAAAACAGTTTCTAGGCAGTTTGTATGGCTGCTATATGCTATAGTGGCCCGATGTGAATAATGTCTACGGAGATAGTAGATTTGATTTACGAAATAATCCATGTTAAATTTTGTAAAGATATCTCGTCAAATAAAAAAATTTTCTTACAAAAACTTAATTTTCAGCGACCAGTTTGTATGACAGATAGACGCTATAGAGGTCCGATATGAACGATTTTTAAAAATATTGTACCTTAGCTTCGGTTAATAATCCATGCCGAATTTCGTGAAGATATCTTGTGATATAAAATAGTTTTCTATACGAACATTTGTATCTGATCGGTCAGTTTGTATGGCAGCTATACGCTAAAGTAGTCCGTTCTAAACAATTTCTTCGGAGATTGTACCCTTGCTTTAGGCAATTATCCATGCCGAATTTTGTAAAGATATCTCGTCAGATAAAAAAGTTTTCAATATAAGGTCTTGATTTTCATCGGAGAGTTTGTATGGCAGCTACATGTTATAGCGATCCGATAACTGCAATTACAACGCATGAGCAGCTTATTGGTGTGAACGTAACATTGGCAAAATTTCAGATCGATATCTCCAGAAACTGAAATACCAGTTCGCATATATACAGTCAGAAAGTCATGAGTAAATCGACTCGGTTTGTCACACTGATAAACACACACACACATTGGCAAGCTTAAAATAAGCTGTTCAGGGTATAATAAAAAGTTGTCTTTACAATATAGAATGTTAAAATGTCTGTTCGTATACATTATAGCGATAAGACAGTTCGGTCACAGTAATGAGGTGCGACATACAAACGTTGGCCGCTGTGGGTTGTAGCATGACTGAGTGTATGTTATACAGATAACTTCATTGAATCAACATTGAATGTGTTGTATGGTACGAGTATTTCCCATAAGTAGCGCTAATGCAATTTTTTCGCACTTTTATCGCAACAAATTCCATTTATGTAAATATGTATATCGATAATTACAAAAACAAACAAGTGCTTATTATTTAATGAAAGTTGAGCATAAATAGTAACAAAGCACATTTATCATGCCATTTGTTATTAATGTTTTTCTAAATAGTATCTGGTCTACGACAACCGGTTTCGATGACCGCTAAACCCTCACTGACTATAACACCATTCGGTTTGGGTAAGTTACCCACTGCCGGCGGAGGCAATACTACGCAAATAGGCGTCAATTTACCGTCACAGCAGAACGTAACAACGAGCATACAATCAACGTTAGGCGGTAATAATAGCGGCGGCGGTAGTGGCGGCAACGGTTCACCGGCTATATCGTCAAGTACGCCCACATCAAGTGGCGGTGGTGTTACAAATCTGACTACAGCACAACTCGTGAATGTTTCGCAGGCCGCAGCAGCAGCTAGCCAACTGTTAACCACACAGAATATTGTTTCATCAGGCGGCGGTGGTGGCACCACAGTTCTACCATTGGCCATAACGACACGCGGTAGCAATATACTAACCGGCACCATAACGCCACTCAAGAATGCTGGTGCCATAACAGTGGGAAAAGTGATGAGCGCTTCCAACGCAAGCAATTTGGATAACAACAGCGGCCAATCAAGTGGCGGTAGTATAATAACGAGTAGCGCCGGACCACCAAGCGTTTACATACATCAAGCGAACACAGCTCAGCGCACGCATGGAGCAAGCGTCAGTGTAAGTGCCACAAATTTACATGCGGCATCGTCCGCGTCAAGCAACAGTACTACGGTGCTCACCGCAACCGGTGGTGGTGGTAGCGGCGGTGGTGTACCCACCTCAGCTGGTGCCTTTTTGCCACCAGGCGGCACGATTTACTATGAATCTGTACCGGCTAGTTCAGTACAAGTGTCGACTGGTGTGCTATCGCTCACCACCACCACGGCAACAAGCAGCACTTTGCCCATAACGCAAAATCAATTGGTGAATGCGGTGTCCGCCTCCAATTTGGCAATTTCATCATTGCCCTTCGCTGCGACAGCAGCTTCGCATGCTGGTAACTCAACGGCCACATTTACTGTAGTGCCATCCAGTGGTGGGCGTTCCATCGGCCAACTGCAAATACCGGTTTCCAGCGCGGCAGGCACACAAATTCAGAGTGTGCCGTTGCGTTTCAGCGCACAATTGCCTACAGCCACTCAGGGCGTGGTGGCCAATGCCAGTTCCTCCAACACAATATCAGCTGATGCGATCTCCGTTTCGCAAGCAACGCAACAATTGTTGCAGCACGGTACTGTTACCGGTGGCCAACAGCTTATAATACCAGCTTCAGCAGCCTCATCCGGTCACCACGTTGGCAATAGCTCTACAACAGCTACACTAACTGGCGCGCAGGGTCAGCATGTGGTCATACCGCTGCAAACGTCGATTAAAGTGACTGGTGGCGGTCCCGGCTCAACGGTGGTTTCCAATTTTCTACGGAAGCGCGATGCAGATGGCTCGCCTATACGCGCTGCAAAAAATCTGCAACCCACATTACTCGCAATGGGCAATAATAGTAGCAATGCTGGCACTGCCACCATTTTATCAAATGTAACGGGCTCGCCAGCCGCCTCTTCGGTGGGCAGTGCTTTCAGCATCACGTCTGTGGCATCTTCATCCGCAACCTCCATGTCCTCGGCACAAACGACCACATCGTCCACACTCACAACCGAAGCATTGGCGAAGAAGGATCGCGCGCAAGCATCGCTCTCCGGTAACGCTCTTAGCGGTCAGCGTGTGGCACGTGGCGCGTCGCCGGCTTCATCGGATGGCTCGACAACTGTGTCGGCGAATTCATCACCGGGCGTAGAACAACAAATGCAAGATGGTAATATAATGATGATTAATCATATGCCACAAGCGCCCAACGATTCCACACATTTCAACCCTATCAATGAGGTAAGTCTGCGGAATTTCTTTCAATCAGCTAAAATTTGCAATAATTTTACCAAAATATTGGAAAAAAATTCTTGCAGATGTACGCAAATCACCATGGCAATGTCAATGTGCAACATAACGTGCTGATGAGTAGCATATCAGTCACACCGAACAGCTCACGCACTTCCTCGCTGGATCATCATGCGCAATTGCATGCACCGGTGGCAACAAGTACTGCACGCGTCAATGGTGGACCCGTTGAATGTTCCACACGCAAGCGAAACAGACGTTCAACGTAAGCATGTGAAGCATATAACATAACAAATACAAGTAATAATTATTTTCTCTCTCATTCTCTCGTTCATCGTACAGCAATGACAGTCAACTTTCGAGTCATAGTCAAAGTTCACTTACTCTCCCACCACCAACAGCAACTGGGGTTGCCGCCAGCAATATGAGCAATAGTAATAATAGCAGTAACAATAGTCACTATGAGTTGTCGGCGGCAACTGGCAACAGCGGCATGCTATTAGCGCCAGTACACGGCTCAATGGCGCCTGGCGCTGCTGGCAGTACGGCCACACACCAATATGACGGCAATAGCGCTAATGCCAACGCCAGCAATGCCAATGTTGTGCATAATAGCAACAGCAATCATAAAAATAACAATGTGCCGCCCACCACAGGCAATAAGGAGAACGCCAAACCAACAGAGTTTACATTACGACGACCGCGTAACTTCTCGCTGCTGCATGTAAGTTGTTGTGAAATTCAGCGATTGTAATAAAATATTTAAATGTTTTTTTTTTTTTGTGCCTGCTTTGCAGACTTATAAGCAAAACTGGAAGACGGCCAACAATCATTTTCAGCGCTACTCAGATGTTAAACCACGCGAAGAACGCCGGCCCACCGTTATTGATTTGGCCAATCAGACGAATGTTATGGGCAAACTGAATGGCTGGAAAATACACCATTTGAGCTCGCAAATGGAAGACTTGGTACGTGCGACAACGTTAACATAACGTTTTGTTTATAAAAGGGGTCTCAAAGTGAAAAAAATATATTTCATACCAACGTTATGAAGTGAGCCTTCAGATACAAATGTGTCGGTAGTGAAAATTTGTTGTAAACGTGCCTTAATTGTTTTCTGTTTAGTTGGCATGACATCTGGCAAACATATTTAATAACCTTACAGTCATTTAACAGACAACAATATTTTATTATTGTGGTAGACATGTGAAATTTGTCATATTTTATTTATTTATACCCTTCTCATCTTTTCCAGTGTGAGAACGAATCGAATGGCCTTGATCAACTCAATAATATGTTGAAACAAATGGAAACACATGAAAAAAATCCCGAAACCGAGCGTATCAACGAATTACTGAAGGTAAAATCTCACTTTTATTTTAATTTCAAATGAAAAAGCTTTAAATAAAATTTTGTTGATCACGATATTTGACTTCGACTTACAGGGCAACATACAGCGCAGCAAAATCATTGTAGACGGCATACATGAAGCACAAAGTCAGATGATGAAAATTTTCGAACACAAATCGCACATATCGGACATATTGCAACGTTGCGCCTCCAAGCGCAATTTTAAGAAGCGTGAAAAATTTTAAATGTTTGAAGCGGCATTAGCATTTGTAAAAACAAAAACTAAAGAACTTAAGGTTTTTTAAACATAAATTTTTAGAAATCTTAGTTTATAATGCAATACAATAATCATTAAGTTATATATAAAACAACTACTATACGATTTTTATTATTGTACATACATATACATATATACAAGTGCATTATTTAATTATTTTTTTAATGAAAGATTGCAAAGCAAGCGTTTGTACTAGGGAAGCGTATTGTACATAAATATGTATGTAAGATATTCTGTCTGTGTGTTTAACATTTTGCAACCAACTTTCGTAAAAGAATAGAAATTATGCTATTTTGTATTAATACCTAAAACTGTATGTACTCAAAAACGTCATGTTCTGTTATACAATCTTAGAAATTGCACATAAAATCATTTAAGTTACTAGGTTTTAAATAAACAAACATTGTAAATTAGTCAATAAGCTTATCGCCTGTAATTAATTCATAATCCTTGTGGGCCTATGAAAGCAATCTGAAAATAAAAACTTGCTGCTAATTGTAGATAACAAATAATATTTATATATATACATATATGTCGTTTCAAAAACAAAAAACAAGGCCGCCATAAATTAAGTTGGAAAGTTTATAGAGTTAAATAAATGTTACCATTTTAATTAATTTAATTTTTGGTTTTGCTTTGAGGAAGTTTTCTATGGGAATGTGGAAGCTTTTGTATGACCGCTATATGCCATAGTGACCCGATCTAAAAAATTTCTTCAAATATTGTAGCATTTATTTAGAAAATAAATTGTGCTAAATTTCGTGATGCTATCTTTTCAAATAAAAAAGTTTTTCATACAAGGACTTGTTTTTGAACGACCAGTTTGTATGACAGCTATATGTTATAGTGATCAGATATCGACGGTTTCGACATATGTGCAACTGCTTAGGGAGTAAACGATGTGTGCAAAATTTCAGCTCGATATCTCAAACACTGAGCGTACTATTCATATATGTACATATACTGGCAGAAACGACTCAACTCATCACGTTTATCATAACTATACCACCTATAATAAAAGTAAGTACTTTATGGGGTCTCCGACACTTCCTTTTGTTTGTGACAAACTTCGTTGCAAACTTATACCGAGTTCGGGGTATAAAAATTCGCCAACTAGGCGTAATTTATTGCTCAAAAATAATTTTTCCCCCCCGCCAGTGTTGCATTTAGATTTATAATCAACCAACCAGACTATACCACGTGGTGAGTATTTTTTTCATTCACAATTTGTCTGCCTTTAGCTTGCTTTCCGGTTACTAAATCTTTTCACCAAGCAGCTACTAGACGGCACGCATCTAGTTTCACCGACAAAATGCGTGAATGGCGACTAAAATTTAATTAAGCAATAAAAAACCGCACTGTAGTACGCCTAGAATACTCCAAATTGTTAAATACCAATAAATTGCGTGAATTTACTTGAATTACCGCAGCTTTAAAGGTAAGCATGAGTGAACAATAATCGGTTGCTTAAGAGACAGAAGGGATTGGTGGCAGATAAATTAATTAAGAGTGAGCGACCTCTTGCTGCGTTTTAAGGCAATTGGTAAGCGCAGATATTAATTAAAGATATTGAGAAAAAAAAAAATATTGCCAAGCGCCAATTAGTGTGCAGTTTAGGCGTGACACTAGCGTCACACTAGTTTTGCACTAACCTCACATTTTCTACTTTTTAGAGGGTTGTTCGGCAGACAATAGGTAGCAGGCAGACACAAAGCGTGTAGTGCTGTTAATGTAGCAAATATTTAGTTCTAATTTAGTAGAATGTTAGTAGTAGAGGTGTCTTAATTATTAGAGAGAAAAACAATAATTAATATGATGACAATTTCATACCCAAAACTGAGCTAAAATGCTGAATTTTTATACACATGCACTACCATCTGAAATATTAATTAACATAATTTGGATATTTTTCTACATTTTGTGAGCGGATACTATAATAATAAGTGATTTTCTTTACAGATGTTGAATAATGAAGCAATTTAATACCGGCGCTGGCTGCTGATTGAAGGTAAACTTACTTTTGTAACTATGTTTATATATATGTATATGTATATGTATATTACTTTTAATATACACATATGTTTTAGTTTTCAAATAATGTTTCGTATAGCAAACTGTAGTGATGACATTTTCATACCCAAAACTGAGCTAAAATGCTGAATTTTCTTACACATGCACTACCATCTGAACAGTTTTCCATATGAAACACTAGCGAAAATATTATTGGATTGCTTTACTCAATTAAAAATATGTAATAAATATTAATTTTTATTTTTGCATTTTCCAGGCAAACTTGCATGCAGCTTGTTGCGGAAAACATACTTTAACTCTATATTCCATTTGAATAGCACTGCAACTCATCTATAAAGTGAGCGAGCAAAAACTCTACAAACACGGCAGACGCCAACAAAATGCTGCTCTTATGTCTGAAATCCAAAGTATTGATATTTTGCTTGTATTTTATAAGCTAGTTTTAGAGAAAATGGTATTGTTCGTAAATGTTAAATGTTTAAATTTTAGGTAACTTGAGTTTAAACGAAAAAACGGCCACAAGCTGTTGTAAGTTGTGAGAAACTTGGAAATGATTTGAGAAAGACTGAAAAATGTATGTGCATTTGCACTATGAAAATGTAATAAACGGACTGAAATGTATAATTGATAAGGTGTTTATAACACGCATACTTAAAATAATGGAAAAATAAATAAAAAGCTATGAAAAATGCAATAAGAAAATGATAATTGAAAGAACACTTAAAAACTGACCTTTAATTTTTTGTTCCTAATTATGTGGCAGCCATATACTAATGTAGTTCCATCGGAACAATTTTTTCGGAGATTGTACCGTTGCCTTGTATAATAATCCATGCCGAATTTCATGAAGAAATGTGAAATACAAAACTTTTCCATATATGGATATGACTTTGATCATTCAGTTTGTATGGCAGCTATATGCCATAGTCGTCCGATCTCAACAATTTCTTCGGAAAATATACCGTTATTTTGACGAATAAGCCATGCCGAATTTCGTGAAAATATCTCGTCAAACAAAAAAGTTTTCCATACAAGAATTTCATTCTGATTGCTCAATTTGTATGGCAGCTACACGCTATAGTCGTCCGATCTGAACAATTTCTGCGGAGATTGTACCGTTGCTTTGAGCAAGAACTCACGCCGAATTTCGTGAAGATATCTCGTCAAATAAAAAAATTTTCCATACACTAGTATACTAGTCACTTTCCCGCGTAGTCACTTTGTGACATTGAAACCACAGCACATCGCGGCGCGAAAGTCGCTTAAGCACTGGCCATGCACAGTGGCTGCTTTGTTTATATAGAGCCTTTTGGCGGCCAGCTTCCCGCAAATTTACTCCATGACATTCAAACCACAGCACATCGCGGCGCGACAGTCACCTAAGCACTAGCCAGGTACGCTGCCTGTTTTGCTTATATAGAGCCAGCTGGCAGCCGGCTTCCCGCGAAGTCACTTCGTGACATCCAAATCACAGCATATCACGGCGCGAGAATCGCCTAAGCACTGGCCAGGCACGCTGCCTGCTTCACTTATATAGAGCCAGCTGGCAGCCGGCTTCCCGCGAAGTCACTTCGTGACATCCAAATCACAGCACTTCGCGGCGCGACAGTCGCTTAAGCACTTGCCAGGTACGCTGCCTGCTTCACTTATATAGAGCCAGCTGGCAGCCGGCTTCTACTGAAGTCATCTTATGACAACAATGCTATGCGCTATAGTGATCCCACCAGTTTGTATAGCAGCTTTACGGTATAGTAGTTCAATATCGGCGGTTTCGACAAACCAGCAGCTTCTTGTGAAGTAAAGGATGAGTGAAAATTTTCGGAAAGATATCTCTTAAGCTGAGGGTCTCGTATATACGGACTGTCGGACGGCCTCTCTGAAGGGGAAGTATTTCATTTAATTAGTTTTTTATTGTTGTTTTCTTATTTAATTTACTATAACTATTGTATGTTTAAATATATTTAATGATATATGCAAATATTAAAACCGCTTCTAATAAATATTGCTAAGAATAAAAATTGAACATTAATTTCAAACAGTTTTTGCATGAGTATTAGGTCCACAGTTAAAGCAATAACTTTTCTTTAAAATACTATCGCAAGAGGCTTGCATAACTATAAACACTTTCCGATACAAGAAAATCGTTAAAAATAATTAAAAATAAATACCTTTCACGAAAATAATACTAAAAAACTTAACAGGAGCATGAAGCTGCAAGCACTGCCTGCATAACCCAAGTACGTCATTTTAATGCCGTCTGCGCCGGCGTTCGCCATGAAATCCGCTCTGCTGCGCAAGCTACTGCCAGCCGCTGTATCCGCACGCGGTTTCTTGAAGCTCTCATAGTACCAATCCATGCCGTCCTTACGTTCCGTACGCTCTAATTGCTGATAAGCGGTCGCCGCAGTATCTACTGATTCCGCATCCAACGGTTCGGCGCCCGCATAGTCGCCTTTATGTGCAGCTGTTAGTAATTGCTGTTGCAGCAGATCCTGCTGATCGCCAAATGCGCTCGGATCGAGGTATGTGTTGCTGCTGTGTGCGTGTGGCGTTGTGCGATGGTACTCCTCGGCCGTGGGTAGATACTGATTTAGCGTTTGTGGTGTTTGTAGTTTGGTGATTATGGAGCGACCACCTGTTGGGCGTGGTTGACGCGGAGAGACATTGGCGGCAGTTAGTGGCGTGGTGGGCGGCTCGGCGCTTACAAGGTTGCCATCACCGGCTGCATCATTGTAACTGTTGGTTGGTGTGTCCTGCGTTGTTGTAGTTGTTGTTTTCATTAGCCAAGAGTGACGTTTAATCTGCTCGACATGTTCCTCCGGCGGTGGTATTAACAATATGGTCTCCGCTGTGGTAGTTTGTAGAAGCGGTGGTGGCTTGAGCATGCTAACAGATTGTGCCTCCAAGTCGTCGTAGAACTCGCCGGTGTCAAAAGTGTCACTATCGCCCAAATTATATGTAGATGTGTGGCTGGCAGTGGTTGTATACGCTGTAGACGAAGTAGTAGTTGTTGTTGTTATGCTCCTTGGTATTGTTGTGGTAGTGTGGAAAGGTGTCGGTGTTGTGGCTATGGTCGCTGTACTGCGTGGCAAATAGCGCGTGCTGCTGCTTGTGGTTGTTGTTGGTTCCATTATAGTTCCAGGGGTTGTTGGTGTAGTCGTTGGCACGTATGGTGGTGTTATGCGGCGTGCTGGCGTCGTATGCTCTGTTGGATTCTCGGTTACATAGTAAGTTTGCGACTCAAACTCTTCACTGGCAGACTCTGCAGTTGTCAACGCCGTGGTGGGCAAGGGCGCAGTTGTGGGTCTTAAATTGTGCAACCTGTTGGCTTGTCTAGGATTATTAGACTCGTGTACCGGTATCATTGGTATGTAATCACGTTCCGTGTACTTCGTTGCATATTTTGTAGACGTCGGTATGGGTTCCACTACGCCACGCCGTTTCGACGGATCGTGCACGGGCATAAAAC